TCTGTCTCTCCCCCTTTCTTCCACTCTCTCTAAAAATCAATGGAAAGATATCCTTGGGTGAGGATTAACAAAAAATAAAAATGAAATTATTAAAAGTCATCACCAAACAAGGACATCTTTTAGGAGTTTATAGTTTTTCATTTTACATAGACATTGATGATCCATTTTGAGTTAGTTTTTGTGATGGGTGTAAGCTTTATGTCTACACCTATTTTTGTGCATGTGGATATCCAGTTGCTCCAGCACCATTTATTGAAAAGACTATCTTTGTCCTTTGTCAAAGATCAATTGACTATATTTGAGTGAATCTATTTCTGAATCCTCTATTCTGTCCCATTGATCTACTTAGCTATTCTTTCACCAACACCACTTTCTGGATCACTATACTTTTATAGGAAGCCTTGATGTTGGGTAGTGTGTTCCAACTTGGTTCTCCTTCAAAATTGTGTCAACTATTTGGGGTCTTTTGCCTCTCCATGGAAACTTTAGTCTGGAACTGTGAAAAGTAATTTTCTGTTGTGTATAAGCCACCTTGTTTATGTCATTTTGTTATAGCTGCCCAACAGGATTATGACACTGCCCTAATAATCCTCTGAGCTCTGCCTGTTCATTTCCCCCACCTTTGACAGCCCCCGACAACCACTTTTTACTGTCTCCATGGTTTTGCCTTTTCCAGAATGTCATATATGTGGAATCACACCATATGTAGCCTTTCCAGATTGGCTTCTTTCACTAAGTTATATGCGTTTAAGGTTCCTCCATGTCTTTTCATGACTTGATAGTTCATTTCTTCTTAGCACTAATATTTTATCATCTGAATGTACCAGTTTATGTCTCTATTCATCTACCAGTCTAGTTTCATACAGAATAGTTTGCTAACACTCAATGTGATGGTATTTGGGAGTGGAGTTTTGAGGAGATGATTAGGTAGAGCCCTCATGAATGGGATTAGTGTTGTTATAAAAGAGGGTCTTTGCCCACTTCCACCATGTGAGAACACATCACATACACAGCTGTCTATGAACCAGAAAGCGGGCTCTCACCAAGTACCAGGTCTGCTGGCACCTTGATCTTGGACTTCCCTGCCTCTGGAACTGTGAAAAGTAATTTTCTGTTGTGTATAAGCCACCTTGTTTATGTCATTTTGTTATAGCTGCCCAACAGGATTATGACACTGCCCTAATAATCCTCTGAGCTCTGCCTGTTCATCTCCCCCCTTCCTTGACAACCTCTGACAACCACTTTTTACTGTCTCCATGGTTTTGCCTTTTCCAGAATGTCATATATGTGGAATCACACCATATGTAGCCTTTCCAGATTGGCTTCTTTCACTAAGTTATATGCGTTTAAGGTTCCTCCATGTCTTTTCATGACTTGATAGTTCATTTCTTCTTAGCACTAATATTTTATCATCTGAATGTATCAGTGTATGTCTCTATTCATCTATCAGTCTAGTTTCATACAGAATAGTTTCACTACCTCCTATAGACTGAATGACATCTTGTTTGCTTCCAAATTTTGGCAATTATGTATAAAGCTGCTATACACATCCATGTGCAGGTTTTTGCATGGACATGAGTTTTTCAACTCATTTGCATAAATACCAAGGAGCACAAATGCTCTATTGTATGGTAAGAATATAGTTTTGTAAAAAATTGCCAAACTGTCTTCCAAAATGGCTACCCCATTTTTGCGTTTCCATAAAAGTTCATGTTGCTCCACATCCTCATCAGCATTTGGTATTGTTAGTGTTTTGGAATTTGGTTATTCTAATAGGTGTATAGTGGCATCTCACTGTTGATTTATTTGCAATTCCATATAATGTCAAGCACCTTTTCATATGCTTATTTGCCATCTGTATATCTTCTTTTTAAAAAAAAATATACTTTTATTGATTTCAGAGAGGAAGGGAGAGGAGAGGGAGATAGAAATATCAGTGATGAGAGAGAATAATTGATCGGCTGTCCCCTCCTGGGGATCCAGCTCACAACCAGGCATGTGCCCTTGACCAGAATTGAGCCTGGGACCCTTCAGTTTACAGGCCAACGCTCTATCCACTGAGCCAAACCAGCTAGGGCTGTATATTTTCTTTAGTGAGGGGTCTATTCAAGTTTTTGGCCCAGTTTTAAATCAGGTTATTTGTTTTTTTCTTGATGACTTTGAAGAATCCTTTGCATATTTTGTATAATAGTGTTTATCAGGTATGTCTTTGCAAATAGTTTGTCCAGTCTGTGGCTTGTCTTCTCATCTCTTGATGGTATCTTTTGCATGGTATCTTAATTTAATGAAGTCTTATCTTCCCCCCACAACCCTTTCCCCAGATTGTGCTTGCTGCTGCATCTAAAAATATCATCACCAGCCCTAGCCAGTTTGGCTCAGTGGATATTGCTGTTAATTGAATTTATAGATTAATTTGAAGGGAATTGAATTTTTACTATGCTAAGTTGCCCCCATTCATGAATACATTATCTCTGCAATTATTCAGACCTTTTATGTATTGTAAAGTTTCTCTGAGAAGGTCTTGCACATTCTACCTTAGGATAATTGCTGGATAATTTCTAATTTTTGTTTCTATTGTGAATAATTTCTTTATCTTTCTAGAAGCGTAGGAAGTTGTTAAATTGATCTTACATACAACAACCTTACTGAATCTTTTAACTAGTTTTGAAAACTTGTTAATCCTATTAATTTTCTATGTAGACCACCATATCATCAATTAGTGATAATTTTATCTTTTTCCCCTAATCCATCACCTCTTTATTTATATGTATTAATTCAATTTGAAAATGGTATGCTGGGACAAAAAGATTAAAATTCAGTATTTATTAGATTTTTCAAAGCCTGATAAAACTAATAGAAGAAAATGGCATCTAAATTAAAGAAAATGTGCATCAACAAAATCAAAATTTTCCTAAAAATAATGGTAACAGATAACACAGATTCTACGATAACTATTTTGATGTCTATAAACTCTTCTCCTTGGGATTTCTCTCTTGACTAATGTGGTCAAGAAACAGAAGGCCAGTCTGAGTCCTGAAGCTTATGGATAGTTCCTTATTTGTAGCCCCAATACAGGGATTTAGCTGTTTCTGGTCCAGCTCTGAGCCATGCAGCCACCGCGAACCATTTGCATCAGAATTACCTTGCGTGCCTGATAAAAATGAAGAGTCCTGATCTCACCCTCAGACTTGAAAAATAAGAAATCTTTGCTGATATTACCTGCACATCCACCATTTTAATGTGAACCCGCCCCTCCAATGATTCTGTCTACAAGCTTGAGAATCATTATGTCAGGGGCAGAGAGCAGAGAACCTGACCTCTAGACAAATGGACATCACCAACAAAGTCTAATAGCCCCCCTCTCCTCCTTGCTGCCCAGTCTAGAAACCTGGGAGAAGAAAGGGAGACTTCTGTTCTCCAGTCCTTCTTACAAGAACCTTGACATTCTTTATGGCACATACGCATAAAAGGAAACCATGAAAACCACCGGCCCATAATGTATCTGCCTGCCCAGAGCAAGCCATTGTACTGGTTTGAGGACAGTTCAAAAAAAAGTCAGTGCTGTTTCTTTCAGGAAATAGAGATACTCTCTCATGGTCATCCTTCCTACAAACTAGGCCCTGAAATTATCAGGGACTCCCTCCTGCCACAGTAGGAAAGCTTGGAGGATCAGGAGATTCATGAAGGTGCCACGTCACTGGTTTTAATTCCACAGCAGGAACATGACTTCAGGGCCAAGCAAAACCCCAGGCCCAGCACTGAGTCAGTGGTTTTATGTTCCCATCGAAGTATTATTGCTAGTCGAAAATCTCGCAAGGAGTACAGAAATGTATTTACCAGATAATAAACACAACTTAAAATTCACATTGCATTCTAGTAAATTCTGAAAATGATCATGATACAAATATTACAACTAAGGAAAAAAACTCACCTAGAGGTTTAGGTTTTTTTTATTTCTAAAAAAACTAAAGGCACTACAAACATAGCTTATGGTTGTTATAATATCTCACATTTCAACATTGTTATGGTCATGATTAAATAAAGATTTTAGTGTCTCAAGGCTATCTTCATTTAGCCCTTAAACCAAAATAAGAAATTGACAAATTAGTTTCCTTCAAAAAAAAAAGAGTTTGCTTTGAGAAAACCTTTATTGCACATCATTGAGTTCATTTCTATTTGAACAAACAGTACACAAAACAAAGATTCATGTTAGGAAAATCCCTGAAACTTTGAATCAGCATTTTGCAAGGATAGAGACTTTGGTTCTGTGTCTTTTAAAGGCATACATTTCCAACTTATTTTAAAATTTTGAGGAAAGCTGTTTTATAAAATGTTTTAAATGTGAGTTATGGAACCTCTCCCCACAAAACAACAGTTCCCAACCCTAAAATGCTGCTCCTTTCTGAGGCTGAATGTGCCTGTGAAGGGCACACAGTACATCAGTGTCCACAAGGCCATGCAGGTACTGATAAAATAATCCTTGTGGGATAGAACATGCCTTTGAATGTGCTTTAAATTTTCATAAATGTATAAGATATTCTTTCAACTTTTTACTTTAACACTGAAGGAGAAAACTTATACATGAATACTAAAACACCAGATCCTCTCCAGAACTATAAGAAGCACATAACAGTTGTCCTTCACAAATACTGGAGTGTTAGTTAGTGTTGGTTGTTTCCTATTCTGGCCTGGTCTTACAAAGCAATGATTACTGGATATACAGCAACATCCTCTCTCTCTCACAAGCGGGCCCAGTCCAGGCAATGTTTTCCACTGATGATGCAATCAGCACAGTCTGAATCACTGTAAGCAAGAGGTTAAGAGCTAAAGAGTGGTATGGAGCCCTGGCCAGTTTGGCTCAGTAGACAGAGCATCAATCAACCAGTGGACTGAAAGGTCCCAGGTTCAATTCTGGTCAAGGGCATGTGCTACCTCGGTTGCAGGCTCAATCCCCAGTCCTTGTCAGGGAGACGGATGTTTCTCTCTGTCTCTCCCCCTCCCTTCCACTCTGTCTAAAAATCAATGGAAAAAATACCCTCGGATGAGGATTAACAACAGCAACAACAACAAAGAGTGGCATAGAAAACACCTTCTAAAGCTATGGCAAAATAAAGAACGAATAAGAAGCCAATAGCTTCACTAATCAAAGGTAGTGGGGTTTTTTTTTAAATAAACTCAACATAAAGCTAAAAAGACAATAATTATTGCTTTTAAATTATAAACCTAATGAGTTCTTAATGAATTATAGCTATCAATTTGCTCAAAATGATAGTCTTCAAACATACTCCACCAGATCTTAAAATATCCATATAGTTTCCCAACTCAGCTACACATCATATTTTCCTCTAGAGCACAGATAAGCCTGAGAGCTACTTTGTACAACAGCAGAATATAGATCCTGGAGGTTCGTCGTCTAATCTGTACTTTCCAGAGTTGGGTAGATCTTTGCACTCTGCTATAAATGTCCGAAGTCTGGTCTCTGGGAAGCCATGCTGCTGGTAATGCTGTGCAGAAGAATAAAAATAATAGCTCTCATTAATGAACCCTTTGAAACAGCTTTATTCCTAATTTAAAATAGCTCATTTGGCAAGGGAGGAGATCTTTCTAGAGGGCTGGTGTAGTCACTTCCAAGTATTTTCAGGGAGATGTCATAGGTTTGGCTAAAGTAAAGGGGGTCTGGGATTCAGCAGTGCCCTCCTGGCCTCTCCTTTGTGGGTCTGGTTCAACCTAAAACGAGCATGTTGAATCTGAGTCCATCTGAGCCCTCCGTCCAGGAAGCACCAGCCAGTCCTGCTCCCAGTCTGAGAACCTCGCCCTACAGCCCATGACTTGGAGGCTAATGTGTAGCAGGCACCTTGGCTGGAACCCGGTTCAGGCCACAGTGGCCCAGCTGATGCAGATTAACAATGGTGTTGCTG